CTGCTGCTGCTGCTGCTGATGCCAGCTTCAATTGCAAAACTGAGCGACTGTCGCGACTGTCAGCGGGCATCAAAGAGCGACAACGACAACGACAACAGCGTTGCTGCTGCCTGTTGATTTTGTTATTTCCGCTGCGCAATGCGATAAAATGCAAATCTCTTTTGATGCTAAAAGGACAACAACAACAACAACAACAATGAGCTGGCGAAACAATGGCTGCATGTTGTTGCTGCTGCTGCTGCTGCTGACGTTGATGTGCCACCAACAGCAACAGCAGCAGCAGCAGCCGCAGCAGCAGCATCACAATCTCGGCTTGCTGGTGCCAAGGTAGCCAGGCTAATCTTCATCAGCCGCCGTTTGTAGTTGGCATTGGATTTGCGGTTGGCGCAAAGTGTAAGCCGCACACAAATCCCTAGACACATGACCAGCAGTTAGGCCAAAGGGGTCTGTGTGCGGGCTGTGTGTGCTGAGTTAGAGAAGAAGATGGTGCTGCTTTATCTGGGCAATAGATGGACATTTGGATAGATTGTTCTTGTTTAGCTTTGACGTTGCCTGCACGCGCACACACACCCGCACAGCTTGACTGGCTTTATGAGATTCGATCATCGCAAGCTCCTTTTGGGCCAGCTCAGCTGGCTGTGTCATGTTCAAATTGTTTGGCCACGGTAGCTGCTGCTGCTGCTGTTGCTGCTGTTGTTGCTTTTGCAGCTATTATTATATTTTAATGGCTGCCTTTGTGCGGAATTGAGTTTTTGGTTGCCGTGCACTGGATGGATGGATGGATGGCTGCACATCTATTGGCCGGAGCCGTTGCCATTATATGGCAAACATTGCGCGTGTTTCATTATGCGGCCGCCTTGTTCTATGCTGCTGCTCCTTGTTCCAGTCTCTAATGGCAACTGCTGCCTCTGCTGCTGACCCTGCCCCTGCTGCAGAGGAATTGGTATTGGTTTTTTGATGCTTGAAATACAAGCTGGCGCAGACATCGCTCATCTTTGGTGGGGAGCGGCGCCAGTGCCAACTCCACAAACGTATCGAATTACAAGCGGCCACTGCCCCTTCCTCTGTTAAGCATATGCGGCGTTTGAGCTGGCCAATATCCATGCTGCTCCCAGGCTGTGGGATTTTAGTGCGCTAGCGGAACCGGAAATGGTCAGTGCCAAACAAAAGACTTAGGCAACGAACTTGTGCTGTACATATAAGCAGGAAAAGAAATCTCTTTATTGTCGTGCAGTTTATGTTGTTGTCGGGCTGCGACTACGCCAATCATGTCGGCAATTAGCCAAAGCCTCGCGTTCCAGCCCACCTGCCCGCGCATCTTTTCGTGGTAGCAATTATTTTCGCATTTGTTGCCCACTTGAATGCTAATGCCATGGCATCTTTTGGAGGGGGGATGAGGGGTTGCTGCTTGAAAGGACTGGGAAACGAGCTTATTAGTGCGCACATTGCAATAAATTTTGGACAATAATCAAGCGTGCGCTACAATAAAAACTGCTCGCACATCAACTGAGCCACAACTTCAAAGGATTTGCCAAAGTGTTAAACTGACATGCGAGTCGGCCAGACATGGGTACACACAAAAAAAAAGTACAGTACATTTATAAAATACATTCGACTTTTTTTTTTGTATAATCATTGCTTACAGATTTTTTGTTTAGTTTAGTTTAGTTATATTTTTCGGTGCTTTTTCGTCTTGTTTTAGTTTTTTCTGAGTGTAGAGATGCAACAGCAACTGGGTGGAGGAGGGAGAGAGGAGGATCAGTAGAGCATAAGACTGTAAGCCATAATTCTGAAGGTGTTCACGCCGTGAGTTAAGCAATAGTCCAAGCTGCTGATGGCTGCCAGACAACGTCCCGGCTGCCAGTTTAGCGTCAGAGACAGGGGTAAGGGGTGGAGCACTCTCCCTCTCTCGCTCTCTTCCACGCTCTCTGCTCCCCCATAACTCTGACACTTGCAATGAAGACATTAGCCGCTAATGGAATTGTTATTAAGCCGCCGTCGCAGACGCAGTTGCGAAGTCGAAGCGCGGCTAAGCTTAGGCTTCTGACGGCTGCGGCGGCTTTAATTTTCTCATCAGGCGATCATTTGAGTTGAAATAAAATTATTATTGTATTTCCAACAATTCAAGCGCAGTCGCAGTCGTCGCCGTTGGCCAATGTCAAGAATTTGGCAGGCGGCAGGATGTGCTGGCCATGCCGATTTCAAGGCTCAGCTCGTTGCCGTTTGGCAACGGCCAATCGTAATCGTCAACGTAATCCCCATCGTAATCGTAATCGCTTTATTGTGCGCTTGAAGTATTGACAAATTATGAAGGCATAAGGCATACCCAACGTCTGCCTGTCCGCCGCCCGCCCTGCTGTATCCACAGCATCGCAGCACGGTTCTACGACTGATTGCATCTTATCACGCAGCAGCAGCTCGCAAATCACTTATTTTGCCATCAGCTGGGCCAATTCGCAGGCGCAGGCATCGGTACGAGCACGGGAATTGGCGCTGGAACAGGCCCAGTTTCAAGTTCCAGATCCTTCCTTCAATTCCAAGCCCTAACAATTGCTGCTTAAGCTATGCAGGAGACTCTCAGCTATAATATAAAATGTTTGTTATGCTTATGACTAGCAAATACCCTGTAACAAAGCTGTACAAACACTTAAACTATCTTCTGTATATACATAAAACTTATGCAGCTGCTATGCTTCTTCCTCTTAAATAACTTCGGAGCTTATAGTCTGATCGTTTTGAGAATTTCAGGACTAGAAGATGGCTTCTAAGAGTGTGCATACACCAAAGCTCGAGGCTTATATTTTAATGGTAGATATTTTCCAATTTTTGCAAATAAATTGGGGAGGTTTATATACCCTATAAAGGAACCCAACTAGGCAAGACGTTTATGTTAGAAGAGATTTATACAATTTGAAAAATTCAGTTTTCGAGATGGGCGTGGCAAACTTCTATTCAGGCACCATTAAGCTTGCCCAATATACCCCATTTGCCAACTTGGTTATAGCGTATAAGGGAAGCGGAATATATAGCCAATGCACTGCCTAGAGTCGCGAGTGTGTTGGTAAGGGTCGGGGCAGGGATAGGGCAGGGCGGGCGGTGCATGCTCTGCTGCGGCTGTCAGTGGTGTGGCCTGGTGGCGCTGCCCTGTTTAAAAGCTGTCGATGTCCCGATTTGACAGGCCCAAGTGAAAAATGTCCATGCGTCCAACGCGCAGAACAATGTAAAGGCCCGGCTAGTACGTGTACGTGTACGTGCTTAAAGCTGAGACAGGCGCACACAACCACTTAAATGGCTTTAAAAATAAACCCAACGGGCCTGGTCTGTTGCTGTTGTTGCTGTTGTTGTTGTTGCTGGTGTTGTTTTTGGCCTGTAACAAATTAAGGCTTTTCACTTTCCGCCGTCGCGTTGTTGTCTGCCGTACACACCCCGAAAAAGCCAATGGAATGCTGCGTGCCCTAAATGAATACCTAGGCGAGAGAGCATACCCCATAATCATCATCAGAGATGTTCCTTCAGTTTTTGTTGCTATTGTTGGTGCAGCAGCTAATCCCACAGCTAAAGCTTCTAGGCTGCACTCTGAGAGATCAAAGTTGTTGTTATTTGTATTGGCTGTAATATGTATTGACGCGGCAACTAATAATAATAACCCAGTCAGGAGTAGAACGCAGTGTGACCAAAAAAAAAAAAAGAAACGAAAAAGAAAAACAAATTTCCGCAAGATCCACTGCAACTGATACCAGTAGGAGCCACAGCAAAAGCAGTCCAAAAGTCGAAACTGGCAAATGGAAATAACTCAACTGGTCAAAAGGAGTGTGTGCAGCAGAATAATGATAATGACGACAGCAGACGGTTAAAGGGCTCGAGGGAAGCGTATGTGGGGGAGAGCAGAAGGAGGGCGTGTTTGTGGCCAGAAATCAGAAACAAATAAATGAGTTCATGCAACGGCTTTGAAATGAAGACAAACTGCGACGTCGCGTTGGCTCCCTGTCGCCGCACTTGCCCCCCGTACCACCGTCAACCGGCAACAGTCGCTCCCTTTGGCTGCCGTGCGTCTAGAATTTGAGGCAAGCAGCAGCAACCGTAGCAGCTGTGGCAACAAGGCGACCACCGCCTATCGTCGACTCAGATTGCAATGCGCGACAACAAGCCAGCGTGCAGCAGCAGCAGCAGGAAGAGGAGGAGGAGGAGGAGGATGTTGCAGGTTGGAGTGTGGCTTGTTGTGGACTCCAGTTGCTGCGTATGTGGCATGCCGGTTCAAGAGTTCAGCTACGTTTCGCCACCTACAACATGTGCGAAACAGCCAAACAAGAGCTTGGTTTAACCCTACCAACATTCTCCCTCTGACAGGGGCGTGGCTGCCACTTTTGCTTTTGTCCCCCCGAACAAATGTGAATAACAAGCAAGAAGAACTAAAATTTAATACACTCTGCATATGTTTTAGTTAGATTTGAAAAAGAAGCATTGATTTTTACAAATATTCTGTTTTGGGTGGGGACAAATTGAATAGAAAGTATTTTGATAAGCCGTTCAATTATGTTGAGAATAAGCTGAACAAAGGTTTAAATGAAAAGTCGAATTCGCGCCAGCTGTGGATACAGAGGGTACATTCCGAATCTGGCTGATGTCTATATACGAGCTAACAGCAGCAGATCTTAACTCACATCCAACTCAGTTCATGTCCATGATTGAGATTAAGATTTATATAGCCTATGGGCTATATGGGCATATGTGTCTTCTTTAATGTGTAACACATTGCGTGACATAATTATGGTACCCACTGTAAGGGCATGCAAAGAAAACAACTGCAAAAATAATAATAATGAAGGCGTTCGCCCGGCAATCCATTTCCAGGTCGTCTCTCAAAATGCATCGTCGATGGCCGCAAATTTGCAGTCCTTGTGGTTGCCAGTTGCTGCTCGGTGGTTGGCGGTTGGTGGTTGGTGGTTGCCGCCTGGGGCCATCGAAACCTTAATGGAAATTAATCACAAACACAACAGCAATTTGTAAGAAGCAAGAACTTGGCTTGTATTTTTGTAATTTTTATTTTTTTTTAGTATATTTTGTATTTATTTTTTGATTTTCTTTCGCTATTAACAGCTAAGGCTTAAACATAATGCTAACGATCTAATGGGCAATACAAAGTATATATATTTTTATTTAGATTTTTAATTTTTACAGCTTTGCTAGATCGTAAGGCAATTACATAAGTAGCATCACACATAAAGTGAAAAATAACTAAGAAACTAACTACAGCTTAGGAGCCTAAACTTAAAATCGAATATCGTAAAACAAATATCGTTAATCGTATACCGTATATATATATATGGTATATATGTAAGCTCTTCGTGTGGAAAAACATTTACAAGGGCTCTCCAATGATTACTAAAAACAACTTTTTACAAATTCCTCCCCTGACACAACACTCTACACTCTTTCTCCGCAATTCTCGGTATCTCAGTTGATTATTCTCTTTATTTTGATAATGCGCGATATTATGGGTATGGGGTATGGGGCATGGGTAAGGGGAATGGGGAATGGGGAATGGAGGCAGACATGCGAGCGAGCCTTGCTTATTCTTCTTCTTGTTCGATTCTAAATGGTAATGTTTAATGGTTTAAGTGCACTTGGTTCGTTTAGTCGCGTTTCCTTTCGTTGCGATGCAATGCGATGCGTCGCTGCGAAAAACTAGTTTAGTTCCTATGCTTAACTCTACGTTTTACGTACTACTTATTACGTACTACGTTAAGGTCTACGTTTATTTTTATTTCGTTTTTCGTTCTTGTTTTTTTTTTTTTTTTTTATTTCTGTATCTTTTAGCTTTTAAGAAATGCTTACAACTTATGGCTGGCTTGGCTTTTTGTCTGTTGGGGCCCGTTGGCGCTTCGAGGCGGCCAACCAAGCGTATTTATCAGAGAGTCTTTGTTGGCTTTGTGGTCGTTTACTACTACAATCGTACATATGCTATATATACATTACATACAACAACTAATGTGTGTGTGTGCGTGTGAGTGTGTGTGCATGTTGGTGTGTGTCCGTGTGTTTAAATATGTTGGTATGTTGATCTGGCTAATGAGTTCCCAGCAACACGCTGTGATAGAATGCGGCATCAAAGGCATGCCTGACATTTGTAGAACTTAATTTAATATGTTTACTTTTGTCGCAGACGACTTAAAGAGTTAACAGCCGAATTGATTTAAATATAAGAACAAAATTCATGGGCACAATTTAAACAAAAATCGACGAACTTGGCAATTGTCAATTGCTTGAATCGTGTTGCCAACTATGATACTGATCGTGCGTTGCCAACACTTAAATGTGATTGCCATGCACAGACTTTTATATGTTTAATTAAAAATCAAATTTTAGTATGGTATTTTTATGCTGAAGTTGGCAACTTCTACACAATTGTTATATTTGGCAACGTGTACACAATTGTTAGCTATAGTTGGCAACGCGATTTAAGCAACTTATGCCTTTAAGCTGTAAATTAATAAGTTGCTGAGACCCTGTTGTGTGTGCATATTTATATGTATGTAAGTGTGCGTATGTGCGTGTGCATGTATGTGTGTTGATGTATATGTGTGTGTGTGTGTGAGGGTGGTGTGGTGCAAGTAATACTATGCATGTGCAGCTGCGCTCCATTCAAATTCAAGTCTCTGGCACTAACTAGAACTAAGTACGCTATGCTAAACTCTAAATGGTGATCACACAGATTTTGGGGGGAGGATTGCGGCTGCAGTTCCTGGTTCCTGGTTCACATACGTGTGCCCACATTGGCGCGCTGGCTTGGCTGTGGGGCGTGGCGCGGCAGCGAGACATGCGACATGTGGGTGGCCGGCCCGCCCAGCGGCGAAATCGACGGCGAGCGCGTGGCCAGCGGCGAGAGCGAAGGTGAAAACGACGGTGACATGGCCGAGGAGGTGCTGAAGCCGCCGCTGGCCTCGTGCCCAATGGGCGAACGCGGCAGCCCGGACATGCTGAGATGCGGCGGCAGACGCAGCCCACCCACCGCATTGCCCAGCGCGGGCAGATTGATCGCCCGCGGTGCCACGTTCGTCAGCAGCGGCGGTGGGATGTGCGCAGGTGGTGCCTTCAGCACCACGCTGCCGGCGCCGGCCGAGGAGTGCGAGGAGTGGGCCAGCGATTGCTTGCTCTTGGCGCTGGACGAGGCGCCGCTGCCGCTGTGACCGCTATGCTCCGACATGGTGTCGTCCTTCAGTCTTGCTATCTCGGAGAAGACGTGCGCCAGCGGCTGGTACTGCGGCCCCCAGTCGAGCAGATAGTCCCAGTTGTAGCTGCCCGTCAGCTCCTCCTCGCTGTGCACAATCGAGCTGAGCGATCCGCCGACATTGCTGCCGCCAACCACAACGGGCACCGGAACGGGCACCTCGCCGTAGCTGGCCATTACTCCGTGTCCATGACCATGTCCGACGGTGCCGATGCTGCCCGCCGTTGTGGCTGCGTCGTCTGCGCTGCTGCCACGTTCGGAGCCGGCGCCGCCGGCCACATCGTTCAGCTTGGCGTAGATCAGATTCGTGATGTCCGAGCGCGCCGTCTCGTCCGCATCGAACATGTGCAGCGTAGGCATGGGCATGGTCATGGGCATGGGGTGACTGGAACCGGCCATGCTGGAGGCGCCGCCAGTGCCGCCGCCACCGCTGGGATCGTGATCAACAATGCCCAGGCGTGCCAGATACTCCTGTGTGTTCTGCACCGAAATGTCCGATATGCGTCCGTCGTCGCTGCCGGCGCCGGCGCCGGCACGATGACTCAACGGCCCCTCGTTAATCATGCGTATCTCCTCATCCTCGCCATCATCCTCCGCCGAGCCGCGTCCACTCGAGCCCGACTGCTCCGAGCCGGATAGCTCTGATGTGGTCGCTGCGCCCGAACTGCCCGCATGCGGTCCAAACGGCGGTATCTCATCGTATTTGGGTGGCGCGAACTGACCCGAGGCCACGGCACCACCACCGGCACCACCGCCCGCAGCCGTCATTCCGCTGCCGCCACCACGTATGGGCATTGTGTCAAACGCACTCGGATCCACATAGCTGTTGGAGTTGCCCACGCCGACCGTCTCGCTGCTGAGATGCGGCTTGACCGCGTTGCGTGGCCGTCGACTGCGCATGTGGATGAACAGAAAGATGCCGGCGGCGGCGCACAGGATGAGCAGCAGCGTGACCAGCAGAGCCACAATCCAATCGCTTGGCCCACCGCTTGAGCCGCCCGCACCAGCTGCGCCCGCGCCAGCAGCTCCCCCGGCGCTGCCAATCGATGCCAGATTCGTGTTGGGATGTGCCAGCGGATCGAGGGCGATCTCGACGACAGTCATGTTGGTCAGCGAGTTGTGCCGGCCCGAGGAGGCCGAGATCACCAGACTGATATCGCGGCCATCGTCGATGAGGCTGTCGTCGAGCTTCCTTTTGATCAGGACCGCGCCGCTGCTGCGATTCACCTTGAAGTGGCTGTGCGGTGCGCTTAATTGGTAAACCACACGACCGTCCGCACCGCTATCGGCATCTGTGGCCGTCACCTGGCCAACGACAAAGCCCAGCGGCAGCGCAGCGGATGCCGGCAGCACAAAGCGATAGGTGCGCTCCGTGAACTGCGGCGTGAACTCGTCCCGTGACTCGATCTCGATGCGCACCGCCACCCGCGCACTTCTGCCGCCCATATCGCTGGCTCGCAACTGTAGATGATAGCGTTGCCGCTGCTCGTAGTCGAACACCGCCGCGGAGCTGACAATGCCCGTGACGGCATCCACGCGAAACAGACGCCACGAGCTGTCGTCGTCGACGTCGTCGGCCGGCACCAGACTATAGTTCAGCTGGCCAAAGGCGCCGCGATCCAGATCGCTGGCCTGGCCGCGAAACACGGAGCTTCCCAGCGGTTCGTTCTCGGCCAGAAAGTGAACGTACTCGCCAAGCGGAAATTGCGGCGCATTGTCGTTCTCGTCGTGCAGCGACAGTTGGAATCTCTGCAGGCTGCACAGCGGACGCGGTTGATGGCTATCACAGGCGCGTATGATCAGCTCGTAGCTAATGGCGCCGCTATCGTAGTCCAGGCGATTGTTCACGAACAGCACGCCGCTGACCAGATCGATGGTGAACATGTGCTCATCATTGCCGGAACTGATGTCGTAGACCACCTCCGAGTTGGGCGTATTCTCCTGATCCGCATCTATCGCGACCAGCTGGGCAATCGAGTAGCGCAGCGGCGCCAGTTCGCTTATCTCTGCCTCATACTTGGCGCTGGGATCAAAGATGGGAGCATTATCATTGGCGTCCAGCACGCTGACAAACACCGTGATGCCTGCGCTGGAATTCGAGCTAGAGCTGGAGCTGGCCGTGTTGCCTGCTTGGCTCAGCTGCAGCTGCAGCTTGTAAAGATCGTTGCGCTCGCGATCCAGCGGCTTGACCAGCACGAGCGCCTTGTTGGGCAGCAGCTCGAAGGCCTGTTCCTCGTTGCCCGCGGCTATGCTAAACGCCTGATCCCTGACATCGTGTCCCAGCTGCAGCACCACCGCGCCCAACGGTGCTGCCTCGCTAATCTGTGCACGGTACTGGGTCTGCTGGAACTGCTGTCGGCCCGAGCCGCTGTCGCCGGGCTGCACGCGCAGCAGCGTGTTGCCGCTTAGCTGGGGCTTGCCCGCATCCCGTGCCACAATGCTGAGGAAGTAGTCGCCGCTGCTGGACACTGCCGCTGACAGCTGGCTTATGTTGACCGAGACCACGCCCGTTGTGGCGTGTATGCTGAACCCAGCCAAAGGTGGCTCGATGTGGTAGCTGAGTTGCGAGTTGCGACCCTCTGCGTCCGCATCTGTGGCGTTCACCGACAGCAGCTCCACGTCCATGGAGGAGCTGCTCTCCAGCAGCTCCGTTGCGGCGGGCAGCAGGGCAAAGTAGGCGGGCGGCCGCTCGGCTAGAAAACGGGGCGCATTGTCATTCTCATCGGTCACGCGCACCGTTAGCGTGGTGCGTGCCTCATGCGCCGCATCGGATGCTATGATCTCCAATTGGTACTCTTGCTGCTGCTCGTAGTCCAGGCGGCGCTTTAACACCAGCTTACCACTGTAGCGATCCAGGCCGAAGAGCGACAGGTTCTCCATTTCCACGGCGGAATCGCTGCCCAAGCGATAGGTCAGCGTCGGGTAGGTGTCCACATCGTTGGCCGACAGCGAGGCTATTACGGCGCCCAATTCGGTGGCTGTGAAAGACAAGACGTAGAGCAAGTGGGTAGAGTTGGGAGTTAGTCGGGAATCTCTCATGTTGAGCTAAGGAAGCTAAGGAGCTAACTAACAGAGAAATTATAAGAACGGGGGGAAGGGATATATTCTTTATCTCTATATTTGGCTTTCCTTCGATATTTCGATATTATAAAAATCTTTAATATTTGAATTAGTTATTAATTTAAGATTAGATTTTCCTCTCACTACAACTTAGAACTTTGAAACTTACCTTCGCTGACGCTGACCACATTGTTGGGCGGAAACGTGGGCTGGTTGTCGTTGACGTCCACGATGTGGACGCGTATCGTTGAGGTGCCCGTCATCTGGGGCACACCCTCGTCCGTGGCAATGATCTTCAGACTGTAGACATCACGGATTTCGCGGTCCAGCACAATGTTCGTTCTGACAATGCCGCTGAAGGCGGGCTCGATGACAAACGCGTTGTCATGGTTGCCGTCCACAATATGATATCGGAGCCGGGCATTTGCGCCCTCGTCGGCATCGAAGGCCTGCACCTGGGCCACGAAGGTGCCCTTGCTGTTGCCCTCCCAGGCGGTGGCCACGAACTGGCGCTGCGAGAACTGCGGGCTATTGTCGTTCTCATCCTCCAGCTCAACCACCAGCTCCGCGTAGCTAGACAGGAAAGGTGCCTCCGTGGTGCGTGCCACCAACACCAAACGGAGCTCGTGTGGCTGCGTGGCAGCCAGGGCGAACGAGGATTGGGCCAAGGCGCGTTGACTGCGCGAACTGTTCGTATTGTCGGGCTGGTGTTGCTCCGTCTGTTCTGTCTGCTCCGTCTGCTCGTAGTGCATGGCGCGTCCGCGACTAAGCGGTGCCAGAGTGGGCGTGGCATAGCGATCGTAGTCCAGCAGCTGAGGATTGGCTACACGTATCTCACCTGTGCCGGCATCTAGCGTAAATATGCCCTCATCATTGCCCGCGCCGAATGAGAAGTTCAGCTTTTGGCGGCGGCCATCGCTGCGCACGGCGGCCACATGAAGCAGCCGTGTGCCTGCGGGTGAGTTCTCGCGCAGCTTGGTGCGATACGTTTCGTTCTGGAAGTGCAGAGCTGGCGCTACCGGGTTGGGCTCACCCACCAGCAGCTCGATAAGACCAACGCTGCTTTGCGGTGGATTTCCCTTGTCGCGCGCAATAACCTCAAGCTGCAGCAGGCGGCCCGTTTCGCTGGCCAGGCTTTGGGTTGCACTCAGGGCGCCCGTGTTGGGATTAATGCGAAACTTGCTGCGCATGGCTGGCGTTGTCAATGTGCTATCCGCCTTCAGGGCATAGAGCAGCTCGCCATTGGCGCCTTGGTCCGCGTCGTGCGCTTGCACCTTGAGCAGCGTCTGGCCCGGCTGAATGAGCGCCGCCACCTGCCCACTGTAGGGATAACGCTCGAAGATGGGCTTGTTGTCGTTGATGTCCAGCACATTGATCTGCACGGCAACGCTGCCGGAACGAACCTCATAGCGTCCACAATCGGTTGCCAGCACCATGAAGCTATAGCTCGACTGCAGCTCGCGATCCAGTTTGCTATTCGGAAGAGCATGCAAGGAAATGCAGACAATTAGTGGGCGTCAAATGGAATGCGTAATTAAGACAAGCTGGGCAACTGAGAGATCAATGATTGAGGTTATTGTTGGGCTAGCCAAAGGGTATCTTAAGAGAAATTCCGAGCTATGTCAAGCTAAATTGGAGGAATTCCTAGCTGACACAAGATATGATCTGGCTTAGGCTTCCGAAAGGGTATCTGTAGAGAGATTCCTAAGCTGAATGTCTGTGGGATTAATGATTGCGAAAGGGTTTCCTTAGCGGAATTCCTAGCTAAGTCAAGCATAATTGGAGGCATTTCTCCCTAACACCTAACACCTGCTATGAATTGGCTTAGACTTCCGAAAGGGTATCTCAAGATGAATTCCGGGCTAACTCAAGCTGAATGTCTGTGGGATCAATGATTGCGAGAGGGTATCTTTAGCGACACTAATTAGTCGCCCCGTTGCTATGCCTAAACGTAATCCTAGCCACAATTAGCCGCACGAAATGATGTGGAATTAATCCAGCGAGCACACACAAGAGACGACTCATGATAAAAAAAGGGGGGGGGGGGGGGGGTATCTGGTAATTAAGTCATTTGCTTGCCAGCAAATATTGCTGTTGAAATGATCCACTCGCGTTGCAGCTAATCTGACTGCACGCTGCACGCTCTCGAATCCCTCCCCTGGCTGCGGCTGGCTGCGCAACTGGCATTCTGGTATGTGGTATCTGCCACAAATAATAAACCAAAATGATTAAAATCCTAGCCATAGTCAAAGGGTTGAGCAAGTTTCGCTGTGCTCGTCGCGATTGCATGTCGTCCAATAAAACGAATTTAGCAAATTACGAGCTCATCCAGTTTCAGCTGTAGCTATGCGGCTCCACAGCTTTACCTCCAGCTCCAGCTCCAGCTCCAACTCGAGCTCTAGAGCTCCATGTTACTTCTGAGCCTCATTATACCCTAACAATGGGGTGTCCATATTTAAGCACTAGGTATGCAGTTCAGCGAATCGACCTATTAGTAAAGCTTTTTTTTTCTGTTATCGAATTTAAATAAATCGCGTTATAAGCTCACGTTAGAAGCCTTTGGATAAAGGATAAGACTAGTATTTATTGTTTTATAATATCCCCTATATATTTTGAATTTGAAACACCTTCAAATCTTTATCTGGCTGCCCTGCCTTTGACTGTTGCCCTGGGCTTGTTAGGGTATTTATTGGGCGTTATGCCCTAGTTGGGTTGTGCTTTCTGGTTTTATGAATTGAATCAGTCAAAGTGAAGGAACTGGCTGCAGAAACATTCCTGCGCTCGTTGCTCGCAGTTTGTTGTTGTCTATTTAAAACAACAACAGAAATGCTTTTGCCAAGGGTCAGTCAACAGTTTTGTTGTTGTTGTTGCTGTTGTTGTCATTGTCGGCTGCGCTTGCTGATCATCAGACAGGCGAAGCAACAAGCGAGAGCCGCAGCAACTGCGCCTAGTCTTGTCCAGCTTCAGTCAGTTCGTCAGAGTCTGCTGCAAAAAAAAAGTAGCTAGCAACAACAACACATTTTGTTGTTGTCGCTTTTTTTTTTTTTTTTTTGCTGGCTATTCCAATCCTGACTTTATTTAGGTCCCAGCAGCGGGCAGCGTCCAAGTCCAACTCCAAGTCCAAGTTTAAGAGCGCGACCGCGAAAGCGATCCAAGACTAACAACAACGTCACGAATTGTCTGTCCCGTCGGTACGTCCCTGCCTGTCCGGCTGTCCGTCTGTCCGTTTGTCGGTCTGTCCACGCTGTCCAGTCTTGACTGTCGCTCTACAATTCTTCTACCTCGCCAAGTGGAGGTGCTGCGCTCTGTTCTCATCGCTGTTCGCGGTGGTTGCTCGCGTTGGTTGGGTTTCTTTTATTTTTCCTCTGCTCTGGCGGGGTTTTTCGTTTTTATTGTTTGCCGACAATCAGCGCAAGATAAAAATTGGTACATGACAGCGGATCGCGTTTGTATAAATGGCAAACACTGACGCTACTGTCAACTCAAGTGTGCTTCCAGCGCTAAAAAGCTAAGGCTAAACCCAAATCTAGAGAGGCTCAGACGAGTGCTGAGCGCAGTTCGAGAAGCTGCAACTCTGCAGCTGGAGGTGGTGGACCTGCCCCCCGTTCGGGCCGGAACTGAGCGGCCAGTAACGCACCCCTCCTACACAACTTGTTCTCCTCCCGCCCAGCTTTCTGGCATCAGACGGAACAAGCAATTGTTGTCATCATTGATTGTCAATAAGCATAAATTTGCACCAGAGGGGGCCTCCAAGTACAGGCTTTTCAGACCAGCTCCGAGGCCTCAGACCTTATAAGCCAGCTCGCTGAAGTAGCAAAAAAGTAGGGCCTATCCTTTTTGTGCGTATGCGTTAAACACACACACACACACACACACACACACACTCACTCACACACACGGCCAGCTACAAGCCCTATTTATAGCCGCAGCGGAGGGTTTTTGCCGGATTGTCGCTGCGTAGGATGTTGTCGACTTGTAGTTGGACTCGCAATCGTCGCAGTCGCATTAGTTCGCGTTGTTATTGAGGAAATTAAGTATTTCAATGTTGTCCTTGCGTTGAGATCTGGCCCGCAGATAAGATGTCGCACTGCATTGACCCAAGGCAAACCACCTTTTACCTTTTGTCTTAAACCAAATCCGTTTAGACTCGGCTTGTTGTCGACTTGGTGCGCACTCAAAAATTGTTTTGACGATTTAATTTCGTTTCTATTCGAAAGCACAGATAGAAACAGGCTAAATGTGGGATAGGGCTAAAGCTCTAGATGTATTAGGAGCTATATTCCGCACAAGCATGCAGTTCTAATAGGAATTCCTTTTAGAGTGCTTCGCTGTTGGGTGGAACATTTTCTGTTTTTCTTTTCCACTTAAGTTAGCCAGTCTGCATATTTAGAAATTATCTATAGAGCATAGTACCAAACTGGCTAAGATCCCAAGTGCTAGATGAAGTAATATTTCAGTTTTTAGATGATTATCAGAGACAGTTACATTAAGAGTGCCCTCAGTATTGGTTGGATTCCTTTAGAGATGAGCGCTTCAAGGAATCAAACTCTAACTGGCCTTGACTTAAATAACAACCGAACGGTATAGTGGAATATATTTGTGAAAACTTACCCCACAGTTGTAATCAGACCACTTTTGCTGTCGATGGCAAACTGCCATTGCGTCTCATTGGCCAGGGAGTAGACCAGTCTGGAGTTGACACCAAGATCCGCATCGCTGGCCTTAATGCTCAACACACTGCTGCCAATCGCTGCGTCCTCCGGCACACTGGCCATATACTTGGATAGCTCAAAGCGCGGCTCATTATCATTCTGGTCCTCGACAAAGACACTGATATTGCAATGACCCTGTTGGGTGATAGGTTGACCCCGGTCCGAGGCCTGCAGCTGCAGCGTGTAGCGAGCGTGTTGCTCACGATCCAAGGAGCGGGCGCTCAGCTCTCCCGTGCGTGCATCAATGTTGAACTTATTGCCCAAATTCCCGCCTGTGCGCAAGAGAGAGAACAGAAGAACTTGGCTTAGATCTATGTCAAATAAGAGATTCACCGTCAAGCGAAACCTACCAATAATACTATAAACGATCTCCGCATTGGCGCCCTCGTCCAAATCACTAGCCACCACCGTGTGAATGACGGAGGATTCGCTGTTTTCCGGCACGGATAGACCGTAGCACGCGCCGGGTCGGAACTCGGGGGCATTGTCATTGACATCGCCAATGGTGATGATCAGCGTGGCCACATCGAAATGCTGTCCACTTGCCGGCTCCGAGTTGCTCTCCGAGGAGCGTTGTTTGCGTATTGCGCTTGTGGGCGTGGCAGCCATGCGATTTGCATCCCGCACATAAATGGGAAGTGTGTACTGGGAATGGGTCTCACGATCGAACTGGCCGCGTGTCGTCACAATGCCGCGTTGCCAATCCACATGGAAATGATCAGCGGCCACCCCCGTTGGTATTTCGTAGCTGAGATTTGCTGTGGTTGCGAAAGTAAGAAGATAGATTAGAGTTGGGAGTAAATTTAAGTTCTATTTGAAGCCATTCAATAGACCCGATCCTAACTAGTCGCAGAAGATATAGCAATCCTCGATCTGACAACTTCGATCGGACCTCTCAACTTGAATTTGTGAAGCTGCAATTTGAGTCTTAAATATATAAAGAATATATATTTCTCATACCAAATTTCTAGATTACAGACAGACTGATGGACATGGTTAGATGGACTCGACTTGTCTTTCTGATTAAGATCGGGGCTTTAAGGGGTCGTGGCTTGTTTCTCCCGCTACTTATTTTAATTAGGTTCTTGACTACATACCGTTGTCCGCTCCATGAAAGGCTTTGGCGGCCACCTGCAGCACAAAGCTGCCGCTGGGCACGTTCTCCAGGATGGTTGCCTGGTAAACGGCCTGCAGAAATCTGGGCGGATTGCTGTGGCTGCCCTGCACCAGCAATTGCAGGCTGAGCGTTGTCTGCTGGGCTGTGGGAGCGCCATGATCGCTGGCACGGATTGTCAGCATAAATCTGCCGGTCTTGTCCAGCTGCTCGGAGGCCGGTGGCAGCGTCTTGGCCAGCTCAATGATGCCCGACTGTGGCTTAATGCGAAAGCGTCCTTCGCCATTGCCGCTGACAATGTCGTAGCTGATGCGTCCGTTCTCGCCGGCATCGCTATCCACGGCCACAATGTGGGTGACCAGTTCGCCAATGCGCGTGGCATCGCTCACATAGACTGTGGCTGCACCACCTGCACTTCTGCTGGGCACCACAAATTGTGGTGCATTGTCGTTGGCATCCAGTATGCGCAGCCGCACCGTGACCGAGGTCTGCAGGCGTTCTGTGACATTCGAGGATTGATCCAGAGCCTGTACAATGAGCAGATATTCCTGCAACGATTCAAAGTCCAGAGGCGCCTGCAGGCTCAGCGAGCCCGTGAGCGAGTCCAGGGCAAACAGTGGGCTGATCTGTTCCAAGCTCTCGTTTAGTTGCGGCGTATAGCGCAGCAGACGATACTGCAGCTCCCCGTTGGTGCCGGAGTCCGCATCGGTGGCCGTAAAGTTGTGCAGAATGGCGCCAACTGGCAGCGATTCGCTAACCTCCAGTTCAATGGGATCTTTGGGCCAGCGGGGCGCATTATCGTTCACATCGGCCACCTCGATCTTGACGGTTATGGCGCTGCTCTGCGGATTATTGCTGGCCGAGGTGTCCAGGGCGCGTATCTCAAGGCGAAATTCCGACTGCAGCTCACGATCAAGCTGGCGGGCCACAACCAGATTGCCCGTATTCCTGTCTATGTCAAAGGCGCCCTCAATCAAATCCTTGCTCAGCGGATTCAGCGTGTATGTGACGCACAGCTGGTCACCCAGCTCGTCCAGGCTGTTGCCATTAACTGGCGGCAGTTCCGCACTGCGCTCATTGGGACTAATCGAGCCCACCACATGACCAACGACCGCATCCTCGCGTACCTGCAAAGAGGCAAAATAAAAAAGCAACAAAAAAAACAAAATGAAAAAGGAGTAAATAAATGCGGCAAAGGCAATTATAGATTATTTGCTGTTTGTGGGGGCATTAAAAGAGGGGCTCTTCACAGTTCTCATACTGGACGCTCTACTTGGTCGCTGCTGCTGCTGCTGCTGTTGTTTTTGTTGTTGTTGTTGTTGTTGTTGTTGTTGTTGGTTGTCGTCTGGTCCGGGGTATCTTAATCTCAACAACAGTGTTGAAAATCCAATCTTAAAGCAATAATTCATACTTCAAGATTACGAAGGCAGCAAACATTTAAAAATTTCATTCCACCAAAAAACAACGTTGTCTGCTGCATGCCCCGCTCTCTCAGCACCGAGCTGCTTATGCCCAGGCCCAGGTGAGCGCGGAGAAGTGCGCGGTGCTGAGCTGGCAACCACCAGCCAGCCAAGTCCGTGGCATTGGCCATGGCCCAGACACAAGCATTGGCAATGGCATTAAAAAGAAATTATGCATTCCGACCAAACTTGCCGGCCCCGAAAAATCACTGAAGAAAAATGTGAGTCGAATTGTGTGTGGGGTGGCGATAAAGGGGAGGGGGGCGGGTGGTCAGTGTGTGGTAGTGCAGCGCATATAAGAATTTAATATGCAAAACCGCAAAAACCGTTTCGCAGCATAAGAAAAAAACACAAGAAAAGGTTTCGCGTTCTTTTTGGCTCTTCTGCAGGGCTCAGTGTGTGTTTGTGTGTGTGTGTGCATCGTTTCTTTTTTTTTTTTCATAATATACATTGAAAATATTGTTTGGGTCGCCAAAATGGAGACACAAAAATGACAGTCACGAGATTTATGCCGCAGCCAAGATTACGCAGCAAGCAGGTCTGGACTGGAGCTGCGGCTGGTGGTGAAACTGCTCCTGCTCCTGCTCCTGCTGCTGGTTTGCTAACGACTACTGCGCCGGCTGACCACCAAATTATGCACGGGCATATTGCCACAAAAATGGACACTGCCAAAATGGCGAATGATTTGTTGTGTACTTTTATAGCTGACTGCATTTACGGAGGAGGCTGCAGGGCGGCTGCCTCATTGGAAATTGCTTAATTACAACAACGCATATTTGGAGGTGAGTGGAGCTCGGCGAGATTTATTTGTGAGCCGCCAAACAAAGCCAGGTCCAACGCCAACGCATAAGAACAAAGCGAGAAGAATGCAGATACAGTTGAGGACAAAGCGAGTGGAATCAAAGGCAGCCGCCAACGAAACGCAACGAAATGTGTCAATTTTAATTGTTGCCGCAGCGGATTTAAAAGGCAAACCGCGGCAGAAAAGCCAGACGGAGAGACAGAGAGAGAGAGAGAGAGAGACAGAGAGAGTGAGTGAGACGGAGAGAACGAGAGAGAGGGCGAGGCAATTAAATGCATGTCAAAGCGTCGCAGCCATCAGTGCCTCGGCTGGCTTTTCGTCCTCGTCCACATACAGAGTGTGTCGGAAATGATCAACAGAGCAGAGTGGGAAGTGGGAGGAGGAGCGGGAGGAGTATGTGATGGAGTGGTCACATGAGTAGTCCGAGCCTGGGCAATGGGAATGCTCTTGGTGCCGGATTGCGGATAGGCATGTGTTGTATGCAATAATGTGCGGGGTATGCAAAACATGTGCGAATCGAACGTGATAAAAATGTTAAAAGTCGCAGCATTTTTAACTGCGACGCGCTGCAACATGCCGAAATCTAAACAGCCAGAAAAGTTACTAAAGAGCACCGACTGTTTAATACACTCGCTGACATAATCATTAAATGGACCGTCATAATGTAAGCTTTCAAGTTTTGCTAAGGTGGCTTTACTGCAAGATTTTTTCAAATAGACAGTCCTACACAGTTCTACACGACCTTCTGTTTGGACAGATATAAATTTAAGTTAATCCAAAATGTCTACTTGAATACTTTATAAGTTATGTATGGCATTCATAATACTCTCTGATAGGGTATAACAGTTACGAATTGCAGTTAATGGAAAAGGGCCAAGGCCAAGGAGAGAGTGGTGGAGGGAGAAGGAATTGCAGTCACAGTCACAGTTCACAGAGTGACAATTACGCGTGCGCCATGAACAACGACAGGCAACGAAGATGTTGCTGCTGCTTAACCCGCCGCCCCCTCATTCACCCTGGCCAGCACTGTGCATGCAAATCGGGAAGCGTTTGCCGCATTGGCACCCGCGCTGACCACCCTGTGCTGCCCGAGCTGCTGTGATGTCTGTTTTCCCGAGGCTGTCGCTGGCAGCTGGGGAATCGTGTTCTTGGCCATTGTCACGTGACGCCCGATGCAACAAATCATCCGCACAAAAGGCAGGCGACAAACGCGCAGATCACGACTGGCGCAAAAAAAAAGAAGAAGAAAACGAGAAGCAGGAAATCAAACGAGAAACGTTGAACGCGTCGCGTCGTGTAAAACTAGAAGCGTCAAATAGACAAAAGTTTTCCTGGAACCAACTGGAAAGAGTAAAGGGACCTGCCACGTCTGCCACGTCTTGCTGCTTGTCGCCTTGCGGCCGGGGCAAATGACCCGCCCATAAATCTCTCACTCACCCTGAAGACCAGGCTGGAGCTGGTGAACGTTGGCCGATTGTCATTCAGATCGAGCACCTCGACGCGCAGCATTCGCAGCGTCTGTTTGGGCGGATTGCCGCCATCGGTGGCGGCCACCGCCAAGCGGTAGATGCTGCGCTCCTCATGGTCGAGCATGACGCGTGTGCGAATCAGGCCCGTGTTGGCATCAATGCTGAACAGGCCGTGGCCATCCGAGTCACGACCCTTCAGCAGCGAATAGTTGATGGATGCATTCTGGCCGTGATCGCGATCGATGGCGCGTATGCGCACCACCTCGGTGCCCGGTGGCTGCTCCTCGCGCACGCTAACCACATCCTCCTGCGGATCGGCTATCTCCGGCGCATTGTCATTCACGTCTGTCACATGGACACGCACCGGTGCCCGGGCACTGCGCGTCGGTGTGCCCTGATCCCGTGCCTCCACCATCAGATCGTATAGTTCGCGCATTTCCCGATCCAGCGGCTCGCGTGTGCTTATCTCGCCTGTAATTGAAGGGAGGTAAAGAGAAGGATTTTCGTAATTAATCAAGTGTCAATAAGTTTGTGTTTTCTAGTAAGCAGTGCTCGACTAGGACCCTTAACTCGGCGAAGTGCTCAGGTTAAATGCCTCTCTTTTTATACACACAGACAAAATCACATATATATACACACACACACAAGCTCTTTGTACAGCAACTGCGCTCGATCTCCCTTTTTCCCGCTCTATGTATAGAAAATGTACTCTTGATTAATTTCGGTGCACATTGTCCGATCTTTACAAAAAAGTCTGGTGGATAAAGCTCTTATAATTTTCGAGTTATGCTTAAAAGCCATTTATAAAAATCGATATTTAGCGAAGATATGAAAATGGAAGTATATATCGAGAAGACAAATGATAAGCTTGTTTTCCTATTTGTGTAGGAGAATAAATATAGCAAATTTCAAGCCTCTTGCAAGGAGTACACGGATATGGTTGGATAGAGTTCATCATGCAGACCAAAAAATATCAAAGGAGGGTGGGAGATGTGTATTTGAGTACCCCCGTTTTTCCTAGACACTCAAAGGTCTCTCACAGACAGAGAGAAGGAGTGAGAGAGAGAGAGAGAGGCAGCGAGAGCTACCGCTAACAATTGTTGATTAGTTTGGAAAATGTGGCTCGTAACTGGGTCGCAGATGATTAATGCCAAAGTGTTGGCTGGTCGTTGTGGTGGTGGTGCCTCCGCCTGTTGCCATCAAAATGTCATGCCTGGCAGCGTGGCGGCCAAAAGAAAATCATGTCAGGGAAAACGAGTTTGCCGGAGCCTCTGTTTCGGTTGCTGTTGCTGCTGCTGCCAGGATTAGCTGCACGCGATTTCCATATTTAATTTAAATGAAGCGAGACGCTGGCGCTGGCACAGACTGTAGCTCCTTTACCAGCAAGGCCCCTAAAGCGGACACGCACACACACATCTACACACACACACACACACATACACACAGACGAACACACACCCGGCCACAGTGGCCGGCAGAATGTCAACCCAATGATATTCCATTGACGGATGAGCTGACAGCGTTAAAACTGTTGTTGCTCAAACACTAATGGTCATGCGCTACTCCCGGCCTGCAGCCAGAGCAGCCAGATAGTTGCCCGCCGGCTGCCGGCTGCCCCATCTAGCCATATCTCAAACAGATCGCATTTTATCGCTTGCCCCATCGCCAGAGAGCAGAGCGGGAACAGGTTTCCGTTTGCTCGTGCGCGTTTGATCTATGGGCGACGTGGGCAATGCCAAGGAGCAGTGCAGAAGCGACAGCCAAGTGGAGCAGTAATGAATGACCATGGGTCATGGCTGCTGGCTTGACAGTGGCTTCTCCTTGCCTTGGACTCGCAGAGACTGAGACTCAGGCACGAACTCTAACGGCTGAGCTCAGCCTAGCTGAGTGGAGCTGAGCTGAGTGAGTTGTTCGACTGGGACATTTGCTTGGATTGGCGGCTATCGCGCCGCGACACTAATTTATGGCAAGAGGATGCATCGACTCACCTGTGACGGGATGCACCTGAAAGCTGGAATTCGCTGGCAGCAGGCTGTAGCGTATGGCCGCATTCTCGCCCAGATCCGCATCGCTGGCACTGACAACGCCCACAACAGCGCCGCGTCGCAGATTCTCCTCAATCCGGAACTCGTAGCTCTCCCGCTGAAACTTCGGATCATTATCGTTTGCGTCCAGCACACGAACGAGCACACGAGCTCGTGCATGTGCCGCCGGTGTGCCATTGTCGGTAGCCAAAACAGTTAGCTCATAGCGATCGCGGCTCTCTCTGTCGAGAGCGGCGCGCAAATAAATCCAGCCGGAGTTGGGAAAGATGCCAAAATGCTGGGCAAGATCGGCATCTGAGCCGCCGCCGCCAACGCTCGCCAGGCTCTGGCTGGCATTGTCCGTGCCCGCATCTACAATGCGGTAGGTGATGCGCGCATTGTTGCCCGTGTCCAGATCGCTGGCATTCACCTGGATGATCTGAAAACAAGAAGAGTTAAGAGTTAGTGTTAAATTTAAACACTCAGAGAAACAGTAGAGAGAGATAGAGAGTGAGGGAGAGGGACTGACAGCGAGAGGAGGCAACGATCTACATGCCAAACACGGCTGGCGGTCATCAATCATCCGCTGAAGCGGCGGCATTGGAATCTCTGATGCATGTCTGCGTAAATCTCTAGAGGAATCCCTAGAACTGCTGCAACTCGTTTCAGCCTCGTGATGCCAAAAGATATAAAGTGATTTTATGATCAAAACTAGTTCAGCGCGAGGCGCGAGGCAACAGGCAACAGGCCGGCCGCATGCAACATGCAACACAGGCTGCCAGTTGCTGTCCAGAGCATGGACGTGGCTGCAACAGCCGCATCTTCTCTGGGGTGTTGAGATATTTTAAAAAAGATATGAAGCCTGCCTGACAAAAGCGTGACTTTTACGGGCTGTTAATCAAATTTATGTTGCGCATTTAGTTTGCATTACAAAAATTTATTTTTCAATAAAACTTCAGGCAGCCAAACGTGGCCCGTTCGCCAGCCAATGTTGGTGGGCGGGCGGCGGGATGTAAAGTGCTGAGAAAATACACTTAGAAAAATAATACATACAACTATAGAAATATTGTCTTCGAATCATAGAAAACAAATTACTGGCAAAAATTATCAATGTAAAATTTGATGTTTTCACAAAAATTACAAGGGGTAACATAACAAATTTTTGCGAAAATTGGTTCAGTTTTAACATGAAATATTTTTTTGTGCAAATGTGTACTACGGTGAGATAAGCTTCAAACTCAGTATATTTTAGAAAAATCTTGATATCAATTTTATAATCAGAATTTAACCAGATTAACAGACATGCAAATATGCTATTTTGCTTATTCAATTTTCTGCTTAAAGGAATCTTGTCAACTTGTGTACTCTTTTTCTATGATTCTACTTTACATATTTTTTTTTTTTTTGAGTGTAATCTTACCTGCGCATTGATGGCTCGAGATTCGGACACATTCACCGCATACTCGTCGCGCTCAAAGACGGGCGGATTGTCGTTGACGTCCTGGACATCGACGAGTATCGAGAGATCCGCAGAGAGAGGCGGCAATCCGGCATCGGTGGCCGTCACTATTAACGAGTGCCGCTGCGCCGTCTCATAGTCGAGATGTCGCGATAGCACCAGGTGGCCTGAGCGTGCATCGATAGCGAAGAGCGGCGCGGAGCCGGCTGCCAGTGCCTTAACATGCTGCTGGGTGGCATTACCCTTGAGGCTGTAGGTCACCTGGCCGCTGCTGCCCGAGTCCTTGTCATGGGCATGGGCCGCGAACAGCGGTGCGCCCAGCTCGGCATTCTCGGGCACCGAAATCCGTACCATGCTCGTCTCGAACTCGGGCGCATTATCATTGACATCCTCCACCTCGATGTTCACCTGCGTGTGCCCGTAGACGGGTGGCTCCCCGCTGGTCGCCTGTATATTGAGCAGAACCTGCGCCTTCGCCTCATGGTCCAGCGGATGGGCAATCCGTATATTGCCCGAGGTAGGCTCAATGCTAAAGTATCCATCCGGATCGCCCGAGTATATAGAGTAGCGCACCGGACTGCGTTGAGCTGCAAAAAAACAGAGCGAGAGAGAGACAGAAAGATGAGCAAAAGACACAAATTGATGGAGAAGAATGTCAAAAGGGGGCGCGGGGTTAAAGGGTTGCCCAAAAGGTGCCTCATTAAAGGCAATTCAAATGCCAGCGATGCAAACAAAGGACTCGCAATGAGTTTGCAGATGGAACAATAGAACGAAAGAATGAACGAGCGCTCAGTCTGCTTTCAGATTGACACATGTTGTAGAGAGGGAGGGATGGTAGGGGGGTTGATGGTATAGCAAGGGGCAGCAATGAAAGGAAGTGCACAGCGAAAGCAGCAAATTAAAGCTCAAAATTCATTTTGCATAGCCGGGCACACAAAAATAAAAAAAAGACTCCCAACTTCAGCCAAACCTCTTCTCTCTCTCCCCTGTCTCTGCCACTTGATCGCCTGTTACCCTCCCGCCCCCCGCCCAGCAACCGGTAGACAGGCACTCGAGCTCGTGTCTTGGCCTTTTGTATCAACGAGCAAGCGAGCGCTGACGAGGACGTGGAATATTGTTGATGGGTGCAGATTTCTGCCGAAATTTGCGTTTGAAGTGTTTTGCTTTGGCTTTGTTGTGCCAGTAAGACCCCCGCTCTGTCTGCCCCTCTCCTGATCATTCCCCTGCCTTGACTGCGCCTCTCCCTCTCTCACTATATATATATCTCCCTCTTTCTCTGTGTGTGCCTGTCTTTGTTGGCCAGTGGCCCATTTTGTTGCAAGCAAGCGCTTTTTGCTTGTACAAATTTTATTTTAATTTTTCTTGGCTTGTTATACACTTTATAAGGGGTATGACAATTTTTGCATGCCTTGTGCAACAGTCTTGCGCTTCGTTTGGTAAAAATACTAAATAAAAAACTACAAATATTTTATCATTCATCGACACGAAGTTGAGTTCAAATATAAATGATCGTTAGGTATGTCTAGATTAATATTTGTTTTTCAATAACCTCAGCAAATTATAAGCTTTGTACCTTTTTAATATCCTATCATTTTATAAAACTCAGACTAATATATCATATGGGGATAAACTAAATTTTAATTACTTTAATTACTTAAAATCTTTTGTAGATTCGAGCATGGACTAGAAAATTTGGATGATTATTCTAAGAATTCAACAAGTATATTATAAAGCTACTAGAAAATGAGACGGATTTCGGGTAAGTGCGAAAAACAACCTTTACCTTATCTAGTCTTATTTAACCTAAGCTACTTAGTCTGAAAATGTTCATTCAATTCGGGAAATGGGTACTAAAGTTGTGATACTTAAAAGAGTTCGCGTCTTCAAAAGTTAACTACACAATATACTTATACTTTAATTTTGCTCCCAGCTCCCAGATTGACTTAGGCTTGAATGAGGTATAATTAAATGCCCAGCAAATTAAAGCAAGGGTATTTAATACTCGCTGTATCTAACGTTGGATGTTTCTGGTTTGCTTCTTTTATTATTTTTTTTGGCTCAAACATTGGACCATTCAACCGTTGGACCATTCGAGCGTCTGTTCCTGTCGTCCGTGTCCGTCCGTCAGTCCGTATGTCCATCATATGCGCATATTTTGTTTTCCAGCTCAGTGAACTAATGAATGCAATCCAATACAAAGACGTAGCGACGCTGGCCGCCAACTTAGGTAGCCACGGTCAGAACCAGCGTTCGCTCTCTACATACATGCACATATTTTTGGACAAACGGATGAGTCTGCTGCACTCCGAGTTGGGTTTTTGGTTGGGGTTTTGCTATACAACTCACCCGTGTCACTGCTGGTGGCTATCACGGAGCCGACGACTGTGCCGCGTGGCACATCCTCCTTCACGTAATAGTTGTAGCGGGCCTTCTCGAAGATCGGCGGTCGTTGCTGCGCATCGATGATGCTAAGGAAGACGACAGCATCGGTGCTGGTGCGCAGGCCGCCGCCGTCAGTGGCCGAGATGTTGAGCATGTGCATTGCCTGGGTACGCACCGACAGCATGTCCGGCCGTATGACAAAGATCTCGCCGCTGGCGCGATCGATGCGAAAGATGCCCGCCTCATTGCCGGCCACAATGCGATACGACACCTGACCAAAACTGCCAGCATCCGGATCCGTGGCCACCACGGCCACAATGGGCATGGGCGTGCCGCCAGCCTGTGCCGGTCCCGACTCACGCAGCGATACATTATACTCGCGAGGATAGAACACGGGTCGATTATCGTTGACGTCCGTCAGCTGCAGCTTGATCATGGCCGTGGTGCTCAGGCCGCCGCGATCGGTGGCCAGCACGGGAAACTCGTAGCTGTTGCGGCGCTCGTAGTCCAGTTCGCCGGCAATGCAAATCTCACCCGAGGCGGAACGCACCTCGAATTCGGTCAGATGCTTGAAGCCCTCGCCGAGCGTATAGTTGACCATGGCATTGACGCCGCAATCCGGATCGCTGGCCGAGACCTGCAGGCGAAAACAAAAAGGGAACGCGATATTATAATGATTATTATGATGGTTGCGGTGGTTGCGGTGGTGCTTGTGCTGCTGCTGGTTAAACGGTTGCGCTGCCAATTACAAATGAAGTTGTCAAAATCTTAATTTGATTTAAAGGCAGCGCGACTTAAGCCGCGCACAGCTTAACTTAATTTGCAACAGTCAGTGGAGCAATTTGTTATGGTCATGCTTTGTTCTCCTCCTGCTCAAGCCTCAGGCGACGGCGGCATATTAAGCGTATGTCAACTTAAATTTTGGCTTTTATTTATTTATTTTCTTTTTAGTTTAATTTTTTTTTTTCTTTTGGGCCCGCAAGGGAGCATTGACCTGGCTTTAATGGCTGCCAATTAGCTGGCATTTGCGTAATCAACATTTACATTTTACAGGCTGCACGCCGCTGGCCTACGCCACCCTAAAAATAGACCCAGCCCCAGCAACCAGTAGCACCCAGTGGGTAGGTGGTGTGGGTCAGGGGGGGGGGGGGGGGCAGTCAAGAGTCAGAGCTCTGGCATTTTGACGCCAACGAACATGGAGCAACAAAAAATCAGCAATTAAAACTGTCATTATTTCACTTTAAATAGTGGAATATACCCTCCCCACCCTCTCTCAGTCAGTTGCAGGGCCAAACAGACGACAACAAGACGAGTGATCTCCGCCAGGCTGCGACTCTGTCCCTGTCTCTGTCTCGGTCTCAGTCTGGGTCTCGAGACTCCCAGACTGATATGCATTTAAAGCGAAACGTGTCCACGTCGCGGCGACTCCTCACGTTCAATTTCTGCGCTAATTACACTTTTTGTAAGCCAAAGGCATCGAACTGCTCGGCTTCGGTTGGGTCCGCCTGGCGAAGATCTGCTTAGATTGCTGCTGGGCTGCCCGACTGCCGGACTGCTGTACTGCTGGGCTGCTGTGCTGACTAAAGACTTTCATTAAGCTTAGTTGGCAGCCGTTTAAACCCGTTTAACCCGAGCGAAATTGTCGCCAAGCCAAGACGACGATGTCGTCAGAGCCAACAGATTGGCAATTTTATCTGTCAACAACATGGAACTGCTGTTGAGAAACACGGCCCAAAGACAGTTCCCGACGACGACGGCGGAGTCGCCAGCTGCAAAAACGCCCACACGAATTTCAAGTGGGGATGAGCAGCAGCCAACGCCTGGCCTGGCCTGGCCGGCCCAGACGCCTCGTGGGCTCAGCCTGGGCCACTGATAACTGCCAGCAGTAGCAACAGCAGCAGCAGCTGCGAACAGCGGCAGCTGCAGTGAAAGGTAAATCAAAACGGAGCATTCGCCAATTGCCAGAAATAACGACAATAAGCCAAATGTAGAACCAGACAAAGAACAGTTAACATTGCGTTTTGGAAAGGAACAAACACATTCGGCCTGGCATAAAGAAGTTGTTGGCTATATTAAGCTAATCCTAACCAACATCTGGTTAAACTGTATTTGTGTCTGTTAAATGCTGTATTTGAGGCATGTTTATTCCCATGTGACTTACAGAAAAGATGGTCATTTATCGAAAAAATCTCAAATTTTATGGAGACTTAAAAAGTAATGCCGAATGGAAAATATAAACAATATAAATGGGTGAAAATCGTTCGGTAGAAGTAAATATTTGCTTCGAAGCTCTGGCTTCTTTCAAGTTCAATAGGCCTCCACGTGAGGCCAAGGAAGTCAAACTGAAATCGATATTTATCGTTTTTAATTTTAATTGAAATTAAATTGATGTTCATTCGGTAATGGAAAATATCCAACTACCTTTAACCTTTATGGTTTTCAAGATTGAAGCGTTTAGAAAATTTGTAAAGAACGCCTAAGGTGAGAGACTTAACTGAACTCAATTTTTATAGTGTTGCAGTCCAATTTTGAATTTTGTCAAACCTCTTTACGACCGATTGCGCCTCCTCGAACTACATAATATAGTAGTTCTTAAGTGGAAGTCGAAGTCAAAAATCTTTTCTATATGTAGCAAAATATAAGTTTTATGCAGCCTAAAAGCTTGGTTCAGATAGGGAAAGGTCAACTGAATAAATAAAATAAAATACATAAATAAAATAAGCTCAGCTTCTCTTTTCGTTCGAAAATATTCGAATGGGTTTCGAAATGTCACACTCAATGCGTTACGCATTTCGTCACTAAAGTACTTCACAATGCAAGGGCTGAGTTGTGTGATAAAAATCAAGTTCGTTGCTTAAGTCATTCGTTTTGCCTGAAGACAGACGCAGAAATCGAAGCGAAGTTGTCGTCAAAACTTCTCAAGAGTTATTCATCTTTGTCAGCACGCACTTCCTCACACACTCAGGCACAGCACTTGTGGGGTGTGTGCGAGTGTGTGCTTGGTGTGTGCAGCAGCAGCATTCAATAACCAATTATGGCCTAACAAGGCCTCAGTTTCTCGACCTCAGCTGGATCCAGCTACTGCGACCGCTGTTGATGTATGCAAATAAGCTGTCAAAAGTAATTTCATTCAATTACCTTATTTATCGTACGAAACAACCAAAACGAAGGAGAAATTCTGTCATGGCCAAAACCAAACACGAAGCACGGCCAACAACAATGCGGTCGAGCCTCAAATACACACACACACACACACACACGCGCAGCAGCAACAGTTGGCCAGTTGATTGCCCCGCTTCTCTGGCTAACTGGCGTGTGAGGCTCGAGGTGCTGAGAAACTATCCGAGCAAAGCTCCCCATGCAGCCATCCAGCCACATCCTGAGCCATCGGATCGTGGTTTGGCTTGATTAACACCTCGGCCAAGCGACGGGAAGCGGGTTGCGGGCAGCGGGCAGCGGGGATTGCATTTGGGGCTAATAGAAGGTGGCCAAATGTCGGTCGTGTCTCTGCCGTGGATTATCAAGCAGCCAGCGCTTTTGATAAGAGTCGGACATGTCTTGCGGCCCGTGGCTTACTGTAGTTGCACTGTTGCAGCATTGCCATACCAGCCCCTGCCACATGCAGCATGTGGCAGTTGCTGCTGCTGTTGTTGTTGTTCTTGTTGTGGTTCTTGGCTAGGCCAAGCAACAACGCAGCCTTGCATATTTTTATGCAATTTCCGGCAGATGTGGATGATTTACCTGCCCCATGAGTGTGCCGCAGCGCGTCTGATGAGAAATGACTACGTGCCACAGAGAAGAGCGCCAAATGAAGAGTGGGGCGTGGAGCGGGCAGAGCGGAGAGCACGAGTGAGGTCTGAAGAGTGCAGAGTGCTGATTGCCAAATACTTTGTGCTTATCCGCAACCATTTGAACAACATTCATTCTCAATGTTAAATGTGAGTCGTGTTTTCCTAACGTGACACGTTAGATTAAATAGCAGCTAGCTCTGCTGATGCCGAGAAACATCGATTAATCGGATAAACGCAATAGCTTCGATTTGCGTTGTATTTGAAATTTACAGGGTCTTAGGAAAAAGAACGGTTCAGGTTTTATCTATCTACCTTCACAGATTTATTGATCCCCATAGAAGTGGATAATTCGCATTACAATATATTTTAAATGCAATTAGTGTGCGTAAATCTCTTGTCTTTTTTTGAAGTCTTTAAAAATGTTTTACAATTTCTGAACAATCTAATTGCTTTCCCTGGATTAGTATAAAGAGAGCAAATAAAATGCCTTTTTTTCATACACTTCACAAAGCAATTTCAATGTGTATTTATAGCGAATTTCTCAAGCTTTTAATGTTCGAACTGGGTTTAATTGAAATCTTCAAATTATTTTCACTGAATATATAAAGTGTTTAGCATTAGCATTACATTTTTATTTAAATTTATTATATATTATACGCATAAAATCATGTGCGCAGCTCGTGTCCATGTTGCCAAAATATGCCACCCGTGCCCATCTCTAATGCTTTTGGCTTAGTCTCTCAGCTTTGAGCACTTTCTGTCTCTTGTCTCTATGGGGCATTAGCATACCCTACTTATGGATCAATCAAGAGTCTCTGGCGACGCTATCGAACGACGCTGTAATCCAATCTTTATGGCACACATTGCAATTGGGGGCAATGAAAGTGTTTGCTTGTCGACTTTTGCTGCTTGTGTGGTTGTGCGGTGTTGTTGGTTGGCTAGTGGTGTGCGTGGGTGGTGCCACAGCAGCCATGTCGTGTGCAGAAAGCGTAAAGTTGTATCGATGGCTCGTTGGTTGACCAGTAAGCGAATTTGTTTATTAAAAAATATGAGACCTAGGCAAGCTGACTCCGACTCGCCCCGCCGCTTAGCCTTACAGCTTACAGGAAGGGGCATGCCACAGTCATAGCTGTCTTTGGCTGCGTCGTGTGAAGATTTCGCACAATTACATTGATTAGTCACGGGTCCCCATGCCCGACTCCGGTCTTGATATTTCCGCTATGCTCTATGCATTTGCTTGTTCTGCTTCTTCTGCCACAACTGCTTCATCTTCTTCTTTTTCATCTGCCTCCACATGCCACCTGATTTATGTTGACGCCTTATCAGCGCCTCTCAATATTTATTGCAATTTTTAGAAATTATTTTTTTGAAAAAATTCAACGCGTTCTCGACACCCTTTAGCCAGGCCGCAAGATTTATATGTGAGCAGATGTGAGGCTTTGATGAAGAGCTCTTCCCTCTTTCTCGCACATACTCTCCCCTGTGTGTATGTTGGTGTGTGTGGCAACTATTTGCGATTGCAATTTAAAAGTTGAACCACATCCAACATTCACATTCACCGCGTCGTGTTCTTTGTCGCTGCTTTGGTGAGTCGCAAACACCGAAAAGCAATTCTAACAGTTGTTGGCAGCGTCAGTGCACCACCGCAACGCCGCACCACTGCATCGCCGCACCACCATGCTTGTCGTGTTATTAACAATTTTTAATTTTCCGGTATAGATTTCTGAGCCACAAGTGCGACGATGCGACGTGTCTTGAGCCTCAGTCTCTCAGTGTGTGTGTGTGCTCCACCTTGTCGCCGGCTGTGGCTGCGGCTGAGGCTGAGGCTGAGGCTGAGGCTACGGCT